ATGAAAATAATAAAATATTTTAGTGGTAGTCTTACAATGCATATATAGTATAGTACAGTTACATGTACATGTACATGTAGATGTATATGTAAGTATTAATTACTAATATTCTTATCTTCATTAAAGGTATTTGAGTCGTGTTAATCTTCTGAGGTTGTTAATCTCCTCCAGTTGTTCTGAGGTTCCTGCCATTCAAGAGCTAACCAAACCAGATCTTGCAAGGTGAAAAAATACATGTAATTATATGTATTAACTATGCATATATTTTGATTGTGACATTTTTTGAGTTGTGGGTGTTGAAAAAACATTCTAATTTCTAAAAGTAATAATTTTAGTACTTCTTAATGTTCTTATGCTGCATAGACTGTAAAAGCTTGAGCTGTTTCTGTCCAATAATTTTCAAGCTTTGAGCATTTAAAAAATTGAACAAGTTTTGAAAAGAGCAAAGGCTTAAATCGCCCATGGTTTGAAAATTGGCTCTGTATTCAACCCCAGTTTTTATAGCATTTTTGTCCTTATGCCATGTAGAAAGTTTGAAGTGATTCTGACAAATAACTTTTGAGTTATGAGCATTTTTTAAAACTTAGTACATATACAGTACATCTACATGTAGCTTTAGCCCCACAAACTGGAGCTTGAAGCAAATTTTTTCAATTTTCCCTTTTATTGGCAATTAATCCTCATATACACGTTCATGTTATTGGCCTCGCCCAGCTTTGCGTAGGCGAGGAATAGGTACTCAGTTTGTCTGTCTGTCATTCATTCATTCTGTGTGCTATATTTTGTTTTTGAGAATGTATATCTTTATAATCGCGTGCTCTAAATCTGTGAGAGCTTCTCTTCTGTTAGGAAAAGTCTTGCTTTACTGCCTTGAGATGTTTAGAGAGCAGCTCTAGCTAGTAGAAGCTTTTTATCTCACGAGAAAATGCCCAGCAATAGCGGTAGTACTCTGGAGGTAAATGAGATTCTTTTCCAGTAGATCAAAACTAGTTATTGTTTTAATATTTGTGGGACTCTTTAAATCTTTCTTGTTGGTGAGTTATAGCTTCTTGAATTCCAACCCGAGTGAACTGTAGGTAGTCTAAAGGTCCTAAACTCTCTCAAATCACTCAGTTTACATCTAGGCAACAGTATTTGTGCCATTATAATGTCATATAGCGCTTATAACAAGAGAAAAATCTGAAACTTCCTTCTTGTTTCCATCTAATAATTAATTAATTGTTGATGATGTATGCCACACCTCCAATTTGGGAGTAACTAGCTGGATTAGCTTGCATGCTGCTACTTCTGCAGGCAGTCTGGTAGATCTATGCAAGCTAGCTGCTATCCCTCAGGAGTACACTTTTTTATGTATATATGCAATTTGCATGCTAAAGTTCTTTTAATTTTGATAATCAAACAGCTATAGGGGCGAGGCCACGCACCGTAGGTGTCTCGTTTGCACATTGTATTCATGTATGTTTACAAACTGTATTTCATTATTATTTTTTTAGGCGTGTCAGAGACAGGTTGGTCGCCGAAGATCGTTTTGAGCTAGCAATGGAAGTGTCCACAAAATGTCAGTTGGATAGCAACACAGTGTGGATTGCCTGGGGTATGGGCTGCATTAAAGCAGGAGAATTTCAAATGGCCAGAGACAAATTCCACCACTACTTTCATGTAAGTCTTAACAATACATGTACATGTACATGTACAACAGCTACAATTTTATAGTATTTCTATTATGAAGTGGACTTATTACATTTTATATTATAGGGTGGTACACAGCTTTCTGGTGGTGCTTTTTTGATTGAGAGAATTGTTGAACAAATATTATCCTGTCCCCTTGCCTCCATGAAGGTATAATTGTATTTATATTTACAGAATAGTGGGTAATATCAAGATTATCCACTCTTGGTAATATTGAAGGGTTTAAATTTAGTGGATTTGAGAGTAATTTGTCAAAATAGCCCATTTGAACCTTCATTTTGATGCACATGGTCACAAATTTGCCAAATAAAAACTTTCATTTGCTATACATTTATCAATTCACCAAAATTTTGAATTACATGTACATGTACATGACCTGGAACACTGTATTCCTACATGTACATGTAGTCATGTACATACATGTACATTACATGTACATGTATACAATTACATGTACACACATCTACATGTATCTAAATGTATTTACATGACTACATGTACATGTACATGCATGCACTATGATATAGTACTGCTAATACATGATTTTATTTTTATTTTTAGAACAGTGATGATTGGAACAATAGCATGAGACTTCTTGTAGAGGTTAGTAGTAGTGCTGTAGTAGTATCATCATCATTATTCTATCATCTTGATTTCCAGCATAAGCAAGACAGCAGTTTCATTACTGATAGAAAATACGAGGAATGTTTGTTTTACTTGAAGAATTATGGTACTGCAGCAGCAATGATTGGCTTCCTTGCTAGACACCATTACTGGAAGGATGCTTGCCAGCAAGCTTATACCAAGGTATAATCTATGGCTGTCATATTAATGTATATTTGTATGTCTCTGAAAGTGCCTCATATAATTACAATACAGTGTAGCCTCTGAGTAATGGACACTGTGGTACATAAGAAAGTTTGTCTGTAATACAGAGGTATCCTATATGTGGAGGTTATTTTATACAGTAGAGAATGTGATTGGTACACTAGGTGCTATCAGTTCAATAGAAGTGTCTACTATGAGAATTGTTCATTAAGGCTTAATGCCTCATGATGTTATTGGACAAAATGACTAAAATTAATATCATTAGTATTGCTTTATTTTGAATAAATTTCTCTCACTTTATTAGCATTGCTCCAACGATGTCTTTGTTGATCAGATATGGCTCCCAGCTCTGAAATGTGGTCAGTTGGATAACTTGGAGGAAGCTCTCACACGCATTGACCCTTCACTCTCTGTATGGGAACAATACCTCACTGGAGTTTGTAGATTTCTATCTCAGAGGAAACTATTCCATGTTCTCTATAGAATACAACTATTTATGAAGGTAAAGAAGACTTTTGTATTATGATTTTATTTATTATTTTAAAAATTATTTTTAGGATTTTGTTCGTGCTGCTATGACTTGCATTAAGTTCTTCATTGGGTTCTCAGGTCACAAGACAACTCTCAGTGACCTGTATGGTAGAAAGCATTATCTGGAGACAGCCAGGAATCACTTTAGGACTGCAATTGATGCTAGAGTGAAGAGGAGTGCTAGTTTCAGTACTACAGAACTAGAGGTACTGTGCATACGTGTATACCGGTATTACCATTATATTGGTAGCTGGAAATATTCATGCGGAATTAATATTAGCTAATTATAAAATCTGTCAATTGCTTAAAATCATCAAATTTAACTTGTGCCAATATTTCCAGCTATATACATGTAGTATAGCTTTATTGATTCATGTATTGTACATGTACATGTATATATACTGACACTGAGAAACAATTTTTTACTGGCTACAAGTGTACATGTACAGTGTATATAATGTTTACTATATTATATTTTATTGTAGGGTCACATGCGAACCATCAGCTTACAAATGAGAGTCATTGATCAACTCCATAAAGCAGCTGCTACTAATAACACCCTCAATAAACCAGTACCAGTCACTAGCATGGGAGACTCTGGTGTCCAACCTTCCACACTGTTTGGGAATGGGGCAGTGAGGGGAGAGGTAGCAGCTCATGTAAGGACTCTAATAAAATATTATTTTTTATTTATTATTATTTTT